GGTGATTGAATCATTATACCTACCAGGGCATTCTTCCACTAGTTCATCTTCCTAAATAGAAAACATTTGACCACCAGTGAAATTTTTAGAAATTCAATTGTCATCTCATTTCACTATCCATACTTCACATACTGCTCAGGATGGCATCTTCTTTACCCATTGGATAATAAATGAAGGAGTCTCAAATCTTACTCTAACCTCCTGTTTTCTGAAAATACTTCTAGTAGCATTGTGTTAGTTTTCATCCTTCAAGAATCAGCTTCCAAGATGAGATTATAAATGTAAGAGTTTTATTGGGGAAACAATTGGAAAAGATAAAGGGGAGGGAGCTAGTGAAGGTGAGGAGAAACTTCACACAGCAGTAAATGTATGAAACCTGTAAAGGAGGAAAAAGGGAGGATTTGTTTGGTAGAACTTCAGAATGCAGCCCAGTTCAGAGAAAGCTGCTGATTGACGGGGGACCCTCCAGCTGAAGTCTTCCATTAGTCACCCTGCATTAGTACTCCTGCCAGGTTTAGTCTTGGACAGGAGCAGCCCATAGGAAGCATGGCCTTGGCACTAATATGACGGAAGAATCATGAGGGACAACAGCTGAGGCCATTAGTCACTTATGCTCTGCGCTGGGCATTTTCACTGCCATACTCTGCATGGTCTCAGGATGGCCTTTGGCAGCTATGGAGGTTCAATCTTTCCCAGTTCAAATCCAGAGAAAGAGAAGCATCTTTGGCTCAGCATTCCTAGCAAAAGCACTGAGATTGATTTGGAGTGTACTAGTTTAGATCGTGTACCTATGTCTGACCCAATCATGATAATCAGGTAAATGGCATGTTCTGACTTAGGTAAACATGGCTTGCTTCCTTGAACAGTCACACCAAAATTACAATTAAACTATAAAACAAACGTCACTCAAAACCATCAAGAAATCTAGTTGAATGGAAGTCTGACAACTATGGAATTAAAGAAACCACATCCATCCAGACTCCTGAACAGGCTGGCCCCACACCCAGGTATAGTGGATAAAAATTCGGGAAGAATATTTTTGAAAGTGAGTAGTCCCAGTCCTATACCAAGCCATCTAGCCCAGGGTTCTGGTGCCAGGAAGATAAGGCTCCATAACTTGCAGGTGCAAAAACCAATGGGGATTGAGTTGGTGGAGGAGACTTCTGGAGTCCCAAGCAGTTCCTCTTAATCCACACATGGACTTACCCAGACTTACTCCCTCTGAGCTCCAACATCAGAGTAGCAGCTTGAAAGGCACCAGTGGAATATGGGAAGCAAGTGAAGTGTCTGGCATCAAGGTGCGAGCTGGGGGACAGTTTCCTCCTAGGCAGAAAAGAAGGTAGAGACCATTGTTCCTTTTCTGAACCCTCCCCATATGGAGCCAAAGAGCCACAGGCAGGGGCCATATCTGAGACTCCATCAACCTTGCTAATACTGTTTGCCCCACTCTGAGTTTTCCTGAGGTCCTGCCCCAACCAACATACAGGGCCCACCCAAGCTGTTAACAGTGGCTTTTCCATATGAATAGGCTGGCCTTGGCTCATGCTTCACAACTTCCTAAATTCTCTCAAACAAGCCACAGCCAGCCTCTGCAAGCCCCCAGTCCCCATACCTCTTGCTAAGCGGCCCCAGGCCTGGCACTAGGCTCATAGCTTGGCTTTACCTGGGAACCTCCAAGCACAGCACAAGTAGCAGCCATCTGCAGATTGCCTTGTAGCTCATACGGGGAGGCCCTGGGCAGAACACAGATGGGGGCTGATTTTAGCTTGCACCACCTGGGAAACCCCAGAGCATGTGCACCCAGTGGAGAGGTAGAGGCCAATTTGGAACACCACCACCCTGCTCCTGCACAGCTGATTCTCCACGTAGGGTGGAGTTTGGTAGTCAATGGTCACAGCCAGTCCCTGCAACTGACTGGCCTGGGTAAACCCCTCCAATTGACCTGCTAACAGCAACCAAGGCTCAACTACAAGACGAGATTGTACTCAGCCCACATGAAGGGCAAACCTTAAGTACCCAGCTTCGGGTGATATGGGAGGCCATGCCACAGGATCCTATAGGACACCTACTACATTGGGCTACACTACCAAGACAGAGAGTCATAGCAGCTCTACCTAATACATAGAAACAAACAGAGAAAGGCTGCCAAAATGAGGAGACAAAGAAATATGGCCAAAATGAAAGATCAAAACTCCAGAAAAAAAACCTAAACAAGAGGGAGATAAGCAATCTATCAGATGCAGAGTTCAAAACACTGGTTATGAGGATGCTCAAGAAACTTAGTGAGGACCTCAATAGCATACAAAAGACCCAGGCAGAATTTGATGGATATACTAATTGAAATAAAGAACAATTTACAAGGAAAGAACGGTAGAGTGGATGAAACCGAGAATCAAATCAATGATTTGGAATATAAGGAAGCAAAAAACAACCAATCAGAACAACAAGAAGGAAAAAGAACCCCCCAAAATGAGGAAAATATAAGCAGCCTCTGGAACAATGTCTGAAGGTCCAACATTCACATAAGAAGGAGAAGAGAAAGAGCAAGAAATTGGAAATCTATTTGAGAAAATAATGAAAGAAATTTCCCTAACTTGGTGAAAGAAATAGACATGCAAGTCCAGGAAGCACAGAGAATCCCAAACAAGATGGATGCAAAGAGGCCTACTCCAAGACACATCATAATTCAAATGCCAAAGGTTAAAGATAAAGAGAGAATCATAAAAGCAGCAAGAGAAAAGCAGTTAATTACTTACAGGAGAGTTCCCATAAGACTGTCAGCTGATTTCTCAAAAGAAAGTTTTCATCCTAGAAGGGATTGGCAAGAAATATTCAAAGTGATGAAAAGTGGAGAACTACAGTCAAGATTGCTCTATACAGGAAGTTATCATTTAGCATCAGAGGGCAGATGAAGAGCTTCCCAGACCAATTAATTAATTAATTAATTAACTAATAATAAGTAAATAAATAAATAAAGGCGTTCATCCTCACCAAGCCAGTATTATATGAAATATTAAAGAGACTTATTTAAGAAAAAGAAGAAAATCAACAATGCAAAGAAGCAAGGAAAATATGACCAGCAACACTGAAAGGAAAAGAAATCAACAGAGACAAGAGGGAAGGGGGGGGGGCAGGGAAAGGGAAGGGAAGGGGAAAGTCAAGGAACATATAGCAAGGACTCATGGACAAAACCAAAGGGGAAGAGCTGAGGGAGGGAAGGTGGGAGGGGGCAAGGGAAAGAGGTGGGGGGAAGGCAGAGACAAATGTATTTAAAAAGTAAATAAATTAATTAAAAAATAAAAAATAAAAAAAAAGAAAAAGAAGAAAATCAAAACTGTGAACAGTAAAATGGCAATAAATACATATCTATCAACAACTGAAGCTATCAACAAACTAAGCAAACAAGAAGAACAGAGACAGAATCATGGATACAGAGAACATTTTGATGGTTGCCAGACGGGAGGGAGTCTGGGGGAATGGGCGAAGAGGTGAGAGGATTAAGAAGTGCAAATTGGTAGACACAGAATAACCAGGGGTATGTAAAGTACAGTATAGAAGATGGAGTAGCCAAAGAACTTACATGCAACACCCATGGACATGAACAAAGTGTGGGGACTTCCCTGAGGGAGTGAGAGGTGCTGGGTGTAGGGGGGCAAAGAAGGGAAAATTGGAGCCACTATTAATAGCATAATCAATAAAATATAATTTAAAAAGCCAAAGAAAGAATGTATATTTTTAATATTAATGGCTGTTGCCAGTTTGTTTTCCGAGGACACTGTAACAGTTCGCAGTTCCACCAAAAGTTATAATGGCATTTTTCCCTACATCTTCACCAGCAGTGTGTACTAGCTTTGTTTCAAGTTTTTGCCGACCAGATGGGTACAGAGTGCTACTCATTTTTAGCACATTCATTGCCTACTTGGATTTGCATCTCTGTAGATACGCTCTTCACATCCCTTTTGTATTTTCCTTTTTTTTTGTCCTTTTCTTGCCATTTTACAAGAGCACTTTGCACGTTAGAGTTATTCTCATCTGCATTGCAGACCGGGAAGGGACGAGCAGTCTGGAACTCTTCATTCCTTCCCTTTCTCCATCTTCCTATCAGTGCTAGGTCCACAGTCCTCAGGCTACAGTCTATCAAAATGCCAGGAATGTCACCAGACAACTGCCCTCTTCATTTTTGAAAAACAAAACAAGACAGACCCTAGTCAAGGACAAGTTTTCATGCCCTGACCCACCCACCCCCAGCCCCACCTTGGGGCAATATTGCTCAAATTTTAGTCATTCTGCAACCATCTACATTATTTTACCATTGCCTTTAAATCCTGTACTACTATTTATAATTCTGAAACTTTATATTGTTGCCATTATTTAATTACAACTACTAATTATATTCATAGCTATGAAAATAAAAAAATTCATCTGTATACCACTTAAAATACACCATATTTTGGGAAACTGGTTTGAGCACACCACAGGGCCATAGACTGGTCAAGGACAAGATCAAGGATATACAGAGTGTCAGGACCTCACCACTTAATGGCACAACATCCCAGCAGGGTGTCGGGTGAGGGGAAGTCGGGGACAGGGTAGGTTCATTTACATCTGAGGAAAGCTGCACAGAAAGGTGCCATGCTTTACACATTATTGAGTGGTGAAAATTAGATTCCAGGCCTTTTCCCAGGAACAACAGTATAGCCAGGATCGATCAAGTCCAGTGGATGAACTGTTCCCGGTTGTACCCTGTGGCCAGGGCCCTTGGAAGCCCGAGCCCTGCGCCACTGGGATTGCATCGCGAACATTCTGCGTTCTGTCCGGAACATCAGGAGTTCTAAGATTCTGCGAATTGTTTTGGGGTCCAAGGCTCGGAAGGAGCTGCCTCAGGACCGGGGGCTGCCATAGATCACAGTCCCTGAGCGGGGTCCGCTGGTCCATTCTGGTGCCAGTTGCCCCGACGGTCCCCCTGGCCAGGGCCTTGTGGAACCCAGCCCCGCGGAGGCATGTGCTCGCTGCGGGTGTGGGGCCAAATCCTCTTGCCCATTTTCCTCTCCCTCTTTCTCATCCAACTGCTTATCGGCTTTTCAGAGAATGGTTTTTTCCAAATCTCCAGACACAGGGGCAAGCAGCGACCCAAATCTGCGGATGACAACGGTGAGCCATCCCGAGCCAGAGGCTGGTGCCCCCAGCGCCACCGCGGCGCTATTTCCTCTCAATAGTGCCACCCTGGCATCTCTAAAGTTGCTGTTTGGTGTCAGCGAGAAAGCATATTTAAAGGCTCCTGACGACTTGGGTGAAATCCAGTTAAATTGGGCTCGAATGAATTTGCCTTACCTGAAATGAAAAAAAGTGGGTTAAAATAGTTTTAATTTTGGGAAAGTAAGTCTGTCTCCTCACTTTTGGCATGACCTGTGCGGCACATAAGCTTTAGGCTGTGAACATGCTGTTAGTTTTTGCCCTACTCAGACTTCACTCAGTGCCATAACTGGTCTGTGTTTTAAGAACTCCGGTAACAAATTGCTTACTTTGGGTCTTATTTGAAGAAATAATTATTCTGGTTTAGAGACTTCCCTTGGTTCTCCTCCCCAGCTGAAGAAATTTTGCAGTGTTCCAAATTGTGCTGAATTGAATCCATGAACTTGGAAGTAAGGTCTTTAGAATCCTAAATTGGAATTGTATCGATAAAAGGAGAAATTTTGAATGACTTGGAAAAAATGCCCTGTAAAGCCAAGATTGCCATTTTTACGAATCCTATGAGACAGATTAATTACTGCTGTCTGATTTCTGGAGTCTAAAAGCATGTCAACATCTGTTGGGGATCCATCCTCCTCACTGAAACCAAACACAAGGCCCCAGCTTTGAGAGGATGAGAGTGGGGAGAGACTGAATTCGAAGGCGTAGCTGGTGTCCTGGGGGAGGGGGCACCTTCCCCGGGGGTTTCTCTCTTGGTCATCCCAGGACACACTCTAAGAGGAACAGTGATCTAGTACCATACTTTCCTGTATGCCCCGCACCCTGCCCCCACCAACGCGCAGCGCCAAAAAACACAGGCTACACGTAGAAACACATCCTTCCCTTTGTTCCCTAGCAAATTGGAGTCATACTAGAATTTTTTCAAAATATCTTATTAAAATGCTCAAGGAAGAACAAAAAGGGAATAAACAAAGCAAGTCAAGAATCATAGACAACAGAGAAAATTCTAGGGCTGACCAACTCGGGTCAGTGTTGCTGAGGAAACACCTTCCTTTTGTGAGGCAAAGCCTGGCTCAACCGGTCCCAGGCCTCCCCTGAGCACTTGCTCCCTAGCCTGGGGCAGTTTCCCCTTTGTGCTGGAGTACAGCTTTCCTGTCTAACGAGGATGTGGTTTTTTGGACATGATTCCCTCACTTCCAAAACTGAGAAAGGGATTCTAACCCCTGACTGAGATCCCCACCTCCATCCCTGGTAGAGCGCTGAGTGACAGGCCTTTCACACAGGCAACTGCAGGACTTTGTGAAAGACCCCAGGTCAAGTGAGATGTCCCCCCAGCCAGGTTACTTTGATGCCCCAGCCTTTAATTAATTTATATTTGAGAGCTTAGGGATGTCAAAATGCATGTGAGAGAGTAAAGAAGATGTAGTCAGAGAACAGAATATTGCAATTTAAGAGTTCATGGTTAGAGCCATCTGGGGTGATGGCAAAATCCAACTTTAGATCATAGAAATCATTTGCTTAAAGTAAAGTGAAGAAGCAAAATTTTTGGGTGATGGAATTTCAGTTGATTTTTATTTTTGATATATATATATATTTATTTCTTATATTGAACATGTATCACTTTTATAACTCCATAAAGATAGTTATCCAGGTCTGTCTTAGTAAAACCATGCTGAATAACAAAAGAATTATTAAAAGAGGCTTTTAAAGTATGACATTTTAAATATACAGTGATATTGTGAATGTTTTTTCTTATTGTTTTTTAGAAATCATTTTTCAGAACTTACTTGGCTGATCAAAGCTGGACAGTGCCATTTCCTAACTTTCCAAGTAACAGGAGAAAATAAAGAGTTTAGGTTTATATAGCACCAATGGGAAAAATTTCTAGATACATGAAAATAATGAAGTAAAATGCTGGGGTATGGATAAACATGCTATGAAACAGGAATGACTAACTGAAATGCACTTTTATGTACTATTGAGCAATTAATAAGCTTATATTTACATTTTTGTACTTAATATTTTTTCTTGTAGGATGTTCATTAAAGAAAAAATGTCAATTGTGCACAGAAGATATAAAAGTAAGTTAATTAACTTTAATATGAGGAAACTGTCTTGGAAATGTTATAAAGTCACATAATTTATAGCTGCAGTTCAAAAAACATGCTAAACTTCATTTTACACAATTTCTGTGATATGAATGACTAATAGCCATTATTAAGATGCATTTCTACATTTCAAACCATTCTTCAAGGGTCTAGAAATAAATAAGAAATAATTTAGTACAAACAACTGCTCCCTTCTGGAAAATTATGCTTCAAAAACAAAACAATTTTTTTTGCATGGAAAAGATCACAGTAACCTTGGGAAGAATTTTTTGTATGTCAAAGAAAAAAAATAAACCTTTTGAGATACACTGAAAATTTCCTTGCTACTCTATTCCCTAAAGACTAGGAAGGATGGCATACTGTTCCTTAACTACAATGTACAATAGCTAACATCCCTTCTCTGATGATTAGGTGTCTGGCACCATTATTCTTCACTTCAGAGTTGGGAGAAAGTAGAAATGCTATAAATAATGAGGTAAATGGTGTTACCGAGAGCTTGGCAGCAACCCTCTCAAAACCATTCTACTCTCACAAGTGTTGTAGAACTGAAAATTCACCCCAAAGACAGAGAGCCACAAAATTACTAATTAGAAAAGAGCACATGCTAGTCATTGCTGTCTGTCATAGTGATCTGGATGGACCACTCTGTACGCTACTTATCTTCATCTAGAACATTCTTCTGCTTTAACGAGGACCTGGGTTCTGGGCTCTTGGGCTTCTCCACCCAATTCCTGCCATAAAACTATGTGCTTTGGCGACGGCCCAAACACACTCAGTCCAGCTGTGCCCCGACTTCCTCAGCTCTGTGCTTTAGGGAGTCACTTACACAGCCACACCTTGAACTCTGCATGATCTACGATGGCTTGTGCATTCTCATCCACTTACACTGTACATACTTTCTGGCCTCAACAAGACAAGACCATCCTCTAGCTCTTTAATCTCTTGTGTTTTTTCTTCAGTTTATGGCCTTCTTGTATGAACTCCCTTCCTTTCCTTGACTTCTTGTGGCTGTTCACTTGACTGGACACCTTTGTTTATTACAATGGAAATTTTCATACTCGAAAACAGTCTAATAAAACTTTATACCCCTCCAGATCCATTTTAGCTAATCTTATATCATATATGCCCTCTCCTCCAAAATGTATTCTTCTGAAGCAAATAATGTGGATACTGTATCCACTGTATCCACTGATATGGATACTGTATCATTTTATTTGCAAATCTTTCTCTCTGTATAGAAAGTAATACAATAATTAATAATACAAGAATAAATTCAGTTTCACAAACAACTGTAAACTTATTTTGCCCAACTGTGTGTGTGTGAGTGTATGGATATATATAGATAGATATAAAGTATACCAACTTCTTTTCATTCCCCAAAATATTCCAGTTTGAATGATAATATGCTTATCCTTCTTAACTGTAAGGGAATCTTCCTTAGACTCTATCATAAACATTTCCTAGTTATTCAATAGTATGTGACTGGCTTTCCTAGAGTTAGAAAACATTCTTACCGAAAACAAATCCATAAAAAGCAACTAACTTACAGTACTACCCCCAATGCACAATTCATAAACACAGAATATGAAAAGCATTATATTTTTGATGATATTTTCTCTTCCACTAGAAATAAAATGATGCTAAGAAACTTAGTGAACTTTCGGCTTTTGCTTTTGTTCAGAATCATTACGTGTCACTGTCGATTCCTTGGAATTGCTAGATTTCAATTACGATGTCACAATGATGAGACGTCGTAAGTAATTTTATTTTTTGCTGATGACAGTTAAAAGACTGAATTTTGCAACTGACTTTAAAAAATGAATTAGAGTGTATGTTTTCTCCATTGATCACATCTTTCTCATTCATTGCATCTTGATATGGATTATTGGTTGAGACAGAAAGGAATGAAGTTACAGCAAGCCCAGTGGGTTGTTTTGTTTTTTTCTTCAATCTCCCATAGCCTGCCTTCTTTGGAAATGACCATTACTCACATGCTTGTAAAGTGCATTTATAAATGCCATACTTCAAACCCTACAACGATGCCCACTTTGATACTTATTTTTCTGAAAAGTGTGTGTGTGTGTGTGTGTGTGTGTGTGTGTGTGTTAGGGCATAGAATAAGGGAGATTGGAGTGTCTTGGATTCCAATCTGGATATGCCAGTGACCATATCGTTATCACCTATCAAGAGTCTCTCAGCTGAAAAAAATGTGGGGTCATTTCATGGACTATTCTCCAAGGCAACTATTCCCAAAACCTTAATTGCTCTTGGCATGACTGTCCTTCTGGATCTTGATTTTCCTTGAGAAGTTTAAGGCCATGTGTCAGTAAGCTCCTTCATTTTCCTTCTGAGCCAATTCAGTTTTTTTCTCTAAGACTCATTTTTCCCTAGGAAATTGATCTTCAGTTCTAAGGTTAACCCCTACGCACACATCATACTCATAAACATATTCACAAACTCAGAACCTTTCATTTCCTTGTTCTATGACAAATCCAGTCTAGTTCTCTGCATTCACCCCTTTCTTAGCAGCTCAGATGAAATGAAAAAAAAAAAAATCTTGTTTCTTTCTAGCAGCTAAAGTTCTTATGCTATCTTTCCTTCCTTATCCCCTTGATTTAATCCTTAGCAAACTGATCTAGAGCTCACAAAAGACTCTCAGTAACCTAATACAATGACCTTTCAAATTAGTCGCTCCATAGGGAAACTTGGTGCTCTGGACTTTAGGCCTTCCCCGGGCCTGCTTCTTTCCTCACCTTTTCATTTCCTTCACCAGCTGCTCTTCCTCATCTTTCCTCATACTCCAAAGCATTCTTTATACTACATCCTCGCCCTTGTGCTGTCTCACCCACTGCCACGACCTCCGCTAGCGCCCGCACGTAACGAGATCCCAAACTGGTGTTCCTAGACCTAATTGCCCCTGGACCTTAGGGTGACACAGTTCTTGATTGACATTTCTTCCTCATCTCAAGTTCAAATGTTCTATAACTAAAACTATCTTTTTTCTTCCCCAAAGAAGCTCATTTGATTTACTTGTTTATTTCTGGCAGCATTTGCCCAGACATAATTTTCAAAATCTTTGGCTCCTAGCTCTGACTTTTTCTCTCTCTGTAGTTCACCAGGTCCTATCAGTCCTTCCATTTTTTTCCTTCAACTGGGACAATCCTAGGCTTCCTAGACTTCAGTCTGTCCAGTCTCTCTTGATACTGTGTTCATTATCATCAATTAGCACTTTCATTATGTCACTTATGAGCTCAAAATAACTTAGCTGAATCTTTATTGTTAAAGCAAAACAACTTGCTACAACAATTTAAAAGGACAGGACGCACTCAGCCTTGCTGGCTTCAGTCTCAGACTGACTGAAATGCCTTTGTTTGAACTTTGGTCTTGGTGTACATTAAACAAAAACTGGCCTGTGAATGAAGACCTTCTGTTCTCAGGCCCACGTCTAAGGGGGACTGAGTCATTACATCTGCTGGTCTCAGGATGTACAGCCAGAGGGACTGAGAGGCATCTGAAATCAGTTGTAATAGAACTGGTTTCCAGCGCAGAACCATGTTGATTAGGTTAGAGCTCCAGCTCCCCTGTTTACTGGGTGTGTGAGCTTCTGGAAGTCATTTGACTGCTCTGTGCTATGAAGTGGACACAGTGGTACCTAGCTCACAGGATTGCCGTGAGGATTAAATGAGTTAATACATAAAAGGGACTTAGAATGGTGCCTGCCACATGGTAAGTTCTATGTAAGTAACAGCCATTTTTACTACTTTGTCCTCATTTTTATGACTTACCCAGGTTCTAGGAGTATCTCCCAAAATGGTTTCCACCTATGGACCTTGCTTTTGCTTACTTCAACAAGGGATTTAGAATTCCCTTTGCCTATTTCCACATGATTACCCAACCCCCCATGAGCAGGAAGAGGGAGGGGGAAGAGGTGAGGCTGACTAACAGCACCACCGGCCCACACATAACAGAGGAAAGAGTGGGTGCTGCCGCCAAGGGGAATGGGAGAGAGTGTTGGAGAGCGAGACATGAAATCCAGTCTACTGACGTCCTTATTGTTCCTTTGTGAAGTCTTGTCTCAGGTTTAGTTCCCTAAATACAGAGCCTGAGGAAAAGATGCAGGCACATATCATTTCTTGAGTGACTGCTTCTCAGCTAAGGGACTTGGCAAGTAAGGGACATGAGCCAAGCAGAGATGTGGTCTCAGCAAAGTCTACATTGACCTGAACCAGGAGCAGCCCTGGGGGCGCGGGGCATCACGGAGCAGAGTTGTTCCTGTCTTCAGGCAAGCCCACTGTTTGGAGCCCTATGTATTAGTCAGTTACTGGTGGCGCCAGGTAGGAGAGTTACCTCAGGGGCGAGGTAGTCCCCATCCACTGAGGACGACTCAAGAGAAAGGGCAGCTTGGGCCCCGTGCAGCCAACACTCAGTGTAGCTGGGTTTGGGTGCCTGCACCTGGTAAGGGGGATCTGGGCACACCACCAACAGCATGAATAATAATAAAAAAATGATGATGGTGATGATGGCTGTTATTTATTGAATATTAATTGAACTAGCAGTAAAAACCTACTGGAATTGTGATTGTTATCCTTGTACACTGCTTTTATTTTTTTCTTTCCAAATACAGTGTTTTTGGTGCAGTGAAGAACAGGCTTGCAAAAAGTTTTGTCTTTCAAGTTTGGGGTGTCAGTTAAGTTCAGTATTTTGGTCAAACTGTAAAGGTGAGTTGTCCCTATTTTAATTTGTATAATATATATTTTAAATTGACTTGCAAATACTAGTGATTTGCTGCATTTGAAGGCTTATAAATTATTATATTTTCTTTATTAAAATAATAGCAAGTCTGTTTATTGATGTTTCCCCTAGTATAGGCTGATATGGGTTCTTTCCATCCTCTGTTGGTTCAACTAGGTCAGCATTCATTCTGATTGGTGGGCGCCTTACCATACCAGTGGTTAAATGCTTTAAATTTCATCTGTGCTCTGATGTTTGATAACCGTAGCCCAGAGAAAGGCAGGTTGTGTTACTATGTTGTTTTAGGAATTCCAGGAGTTTTTTTTAAGCTAGTCCTGGGGTGAGGACGTCTTGAGCCCAGTAGTGTAACTATAACTTGTATTTCCTCAGCTAATGTACATAGTATTGAGGATTTCCATTCAGAACAATGACTCTCTAGGACTGAGCAAATCTCAAGCATCAAAGAATCTTTAAATTATATCTATAATATTATATTATTGGTTTGTTATGTGGTAGCTGCCAAGGCAAGGAAATGTATTAGAACCTTTGAAGAAGTTTTCAAAAAGAGGTAAAAGGTTTTTCAGGGGAGCCATGACTATATAAGGAAACCCTATCTAGAACAACCAGTTGTCTATGTCTTTTTCTCAACTGAAGCGAAAAAACATAAATTTTGCCCTCAAGTCCCTGTTTTCTCGAGGGACTGATATTTAAATCTTAATTGTTTGTAGCAAACAGCTTATAAACAGTAACACTTTATATATTTAGTGTGAGTGGGAACTCTAGTCTCCTATTCCATGTTTGGTCCTTGTAGTTTCACACAGCACGGAGGGAGGGAGGAGAAGGGAAGTTTACAAACAAGCGTTTATTGTCTCTTTGATAAGGAACTGCTGAAACTTGAAAAACAAAGCAACCCATGCATCTATATACAAACCTAAAGGCAACCTGAGGAATCTGCTATTTTATCTGTTCTGATATTGCCTGGAAGGAGTTTAGCGATAAAATAAAGGAAAAAGTAGCCAGTGGCCTAATAGTTTACCAATTTGGAGATAATGTTACCTCCTTTTAGCAACCCAGATTATTTTTAAACGTTAATGACTGCTGTGTTCATGGAGTATGAGATGTACATTAGGGTATTATCAGCTGTAACAACTGAATTTGTATTTAAGAATCAGACTGCGTGATGCTAGAAAAGATGAAAATGCAAGAAATTATTAATCTTTTCTTAACTTAAAACATATTTCTTTACATTTCAGTTGACATGTTTGGATTTCTGCTGCTGCTGATCATTGCAATATTAATTATAGCATTCATTTGGCATTGCTGCGTCTTTCACTGGTACTTGCAGGGGTATGTTCATTTTATCCTTAGTAAGAATGCACTTTGGGATAATATCACTGAAGAAAATACTAAACCAGTTATCATAAGTGTTTTACATTTTTTATATAATAAAAATAATATATGATAAGGGAAAAAGTTCAAAAAGTACAGAATGTTATAAAATGAATTTTCCCACCCTCTACTCCACCTGTGATACCTACTTTCAGAAGTAATTTTTTTAGTATGATTTTATTTGTAGTTCTTTTGGTTACTTCCATATATTTGAACAATATGATTATATCTCCTTTTCATGATATGAACTTTAGATGTTATCTATAAACTGAAAAAGTGATCTTGCATTATCCATATTATTTTTTGTTATTTTGATGTTAGTGGATATTATAATTTTATTTTTGAATTGTATTTATTAACTCTTAAGATTATTAATACTTCTTTTCTTGGTTGTCTTTTTGACTTCGAGTAACATAATCTTCGTTTCTATACTTCTCCCATTATTTAAGAAAATTTGGAACCTCTCTTCCTCTATCTTCTAAACTCTATAATCTTCCTCACTCATTTGACCTTTTCAAGTGTATATTTACATTGTATTCTGTAACTATATTTATATCTTGAAATACTTATTCTATAGTTTGAATCTAATATTTTTAAATGAATAAAAATAATAGAACATATTATGATTGTATAAATATTGTTTATAAAAAACCAAAATGGAAATAGAAAATGGAATTCTGCCACTAACCCAAATTTCTAGAAAAAGGAATATCTAGTGTCAAGATCAAATATATGCCCTTTACTTACTCTCCATTTCTCACATCATGCTACATTTCAGCTTGTTTCATGTTTACATTGTAACTTTCCTATACAGCTCTTGCATTTTCTAGAGTTTTAAATTACTTTCATTATTTCTTGTCAAAAAGGACACATGTATCTTTATTTCCATCACTGTAATTATTCATCTTACTATTCGGTAAATATACATTAATTTCCTTCTTATTAACATTCTTCTAAAAATCCTGACTTTCTGTTTTAATTTATAAAATTTATTTTCTTTTCAGTGTTCTACTGAGTTAGAAGAATTTTTAAAATCTCTTATGTTCCTCCTTTTAGGATTGATTTTTTTTCCTTTTACTGGAGTACACCCTCAAGTAATTTCTTTCAAAAAGGGTTTACAGAAGTATGTAAAGTATTTTCATAGTCACACATGTCAAGAAATTTGTTCTCCTCCATTATCTTTCAGCCCAGTGTGGTGTAATTTTCTTTCTTCAGATTGTATACCTTTTCCAAAAGACATCCACAGATAGGATAAATGCATGCTAATAGGCATATCCGTAAGTAAAATATGCCTATTTGCTTACTTAAGACCTTCACTTTGTATAGGATTTTATATTTTTCTGACTTTGAGGCTTTAAATCCTTTTTTTTATTAACATATAAGGATAAAAGAAAGGGTAAAATGGAAGATAGCTTCTTATTCTTTACCTCCAGAATATAACTTTGTTCAGAAGGAAGAACCAGTAAGATACTCAGTTCTGGTTTAGCTCTGCTATTCACCCACCATCTCTTCTTTTTCAGCTCCTTCTAGACCTAGTTAATTCAATAAGCACTCTATTCTGTTAGAGGAATTTCTTACTCAGGATTTATTTCACTTCATGATTGAAAGATCTTGGCTGAGTTCCAGAAACATCCATCTTTCATTTTTAAAAATACCCTTGAATTACCAATGGAGCATCGAAATATTGATTATTACATTTGTTCTAATATTCTTGTTACTCAGCAGAAATGATTTAAAAGTTAAAGCGCTTTTAAAAGTTCCAAATTTTAGAGAATATAAATGTTTAACTGCTCATCTCCTCAGTTCTTCCTTGACTCTCATTTATTTCAGCAAATATTCATTGCATATGTATCATGTCCCAGGGAGTGTTGTTGTCACTAGGAACATAATTGCAAACAGGAAAGATCAAGTTCTTGCCTTCTTCTTAGAGTTTACATCCTATCATGGGGACACAGATAAGAAATAAGCAATTGTTAATTCTGTTGTTAACTTATTACTATTTTAAATGATATTCCATCTACTTTAATTGTGTTATTCTTACTTAAACATTTTAATTCTTCTGCTAGATAAATAAAAGGAGAACTTTAATAGAGCAATGGTAATAAAAAATATTGCATAAGTGTAGTCTTCTAATGAAATAAAATAATTCCAATTATAACCTTAACTATTCTGGAAATATACCTCACTAATTCTAACTTTACCATCATTTTAAACAGAAATCAAGTCTGTGTTTCTAGAAGACCACATGGTTTTGCTCTTCACCATGGGACTACTGGCAAGTGTTTTAATTTATTTTTACAGGATGCCCCAGACTCTTCTGGTAATTTACAGATGGAAGCCTTTCCCTTACTTATTCTAGGCATCAAAATTAAAGTATGAGTAGAAAATATGACAGCAGATTTTATTGTTCTCATTTCTAAGACACATTCTTGTAACTTCAATAGTCTAGGATGGGTAAAACCACAATACTGATAGAGAAGAGTTAAAATTTCCAACCCAAATTGAGTATTAATAGTCTTCACAGTTCCCTCCAACTCTCATTCCATAGAAGCAACTCAACAAAAGATTACCTTTACCTTAAGGAATCCTTGTAGGCTTTTCCCCGATTAATGCACTTCATCTTACGTAGTTGGCTGATCCTCTATCTACACTTCTCAACTCGATTCTTTAATCTTTGCCTTAGTTATAAGGCACTCTCTTATTCAGGACCAAAATCTTGGCTTCCTTCAGCTTATCACTCACAGCTCCTGGCAGGTCCTCCCACTCACCTGCCCAGGCCTGGATCCCAGAGCCCAACTGAAGTGAGAACCACGACCCCCCTTTTCACTTGGATACTTGGACCACAAAAAGTTTTAGATCAGAATATGACCAAGAAAGGGTACTGCAAGGTCCTTTATAATTACCATTAAAAATAACTTTGAGGACCATCCGGGTTATTGTGCTGCTCTGGGCCTTTGGGACAGAATAATAAACCTGAATGAGAAGCAGGGTAAACCCCCCAGGGGCAAGGATGCAATGTCCAGCGCATACGCACTCCATCGTCAATTCCTAGACCTTGTCATGGCGAAATTGCTTTGGTTGTAACAGGATGCGGAACTGTTTCCAAAGCTATCTAAGGAGAGGAGCCGAAGTGCTTCCTGGGGTTGAAATCAAACCAGAGGACTGCAAGAACGCTCCTCCATTTCTATTTTCCTCCATTCATTTTAAATTCCACAGCAAACCAGACCAGGAGAAAAGCTCTAAAAAGAGCATGAGGTTGGGTATTTATGTATGTTAGGTAGAAACGAGTATGTATTCACTGATTGAGAATAATTAGTTATACTACATTCATTGTAGGGAATAAAATGTAATACATTTCCCAAGGCAGGATGAGTTTCTGCCCAGGAGAATGATCTCCAAGCCCAAGGGGAAATGTCTGTATGAAAGGATTGAGTTAAGGAAAAGGATTCTTCCAAAGGAACTGGGAAGATGGAAAAGTGGGAGGTAGGGCTGTCATAGGGATGAAGAGAAGAGTGCCTGCCTATGGCTGGAGGGAGATTCATGAGTGTCCTTGGGACTAAAATTGGGAGGCTACTGGGAACCTGACTTAGGAGTGATTATTCAGGATGTAGAATACGCCGACTTCTGACTTAGGGAATAGGAAAAGAGGGAACCTGAGAAATGCTATACACGGTGTATTATTTGACCACTATTCTCCTCACCCACGGTGTTGGCATCCAGGAGTGGTAGTGTTATCCCCGCTCTTAGTCCTTGGTCCTTGGACCATACTTCTCTAGAACAGACTTCAGATGATTTGCTGGTTAGGGATTCATTGAGCGTTCACAGGTTTTCTCTCCCTGGAGACTAGTCTTGTGGTCACCACAAAATATTTGACCTTTTCCTCTTTGTCAAATTCATTCCCAAGTCTGTAATACCTTAAGTCACTTGAGCTCTAAATATTAAAATAGCAGTAACATTAACATCGCAGAATAGAAATCATATGATTATTTGTAAATATTTTGTGTTTAACATTTTAAAATGTTAGATAAGTCATCCTTGACTTTTCTTAGTAAGACTTTGAAATGATAAATTGATTTTCTCTTCTTATAGTATATGATGAATAGATAACTGAAAAAAGATAGATCTTCCAGAGACACAAGGAAGGAGTTTCTATAATGGTAAGGTTTCAAGTTATATTGCATGTATTTTCTATATGACCTTCCCTCCCTGCCATTAAGCAAATTTTTAGGAGTGTATTAAGAAAGTAAGTGGAAATATTATTAAGAAAGTAAGTGGAAATAAAATCTGTAAAATGTAACCAGGTTTTCAATGCCTGAAAACATGGAATAGGAGGCAGCAGAAAATGGACATATAACAGCTCCTCAGTCAGGCTACCTTAGTTAAAATCTGGGCTTCGTTTACTGAGTACTGCATCTTATTGGACAACTCACTTAACCTGTCTGTGAATCCTTTTACTCAATTGTTAATATTATGAAACAGTAGTGACTAAACCATTTGGTAGCTCTGAAGACGAAGTGAGATTTTACAGGTAAAATATTTAGAATTGTTTCTGACACTTAGGAAGTCCTCAATAAGTTTCCATTGTTACTACTCTAGCCATAGAATCTCAGCATTTGAAGGCATATAAGGGTTATCCTGCTCAACCCACCATAAATAAAAGAACTTAATGTAATAGAGCAATGGTAATAAAAAGTTACATAAGTGTAGTCAACTAATTGGAATAATTCCAATTATAACCTTAACTATTATGAACATAACCTGACTAATTCTAAATTTACCATCATTTTGAACAGAACTTGAGTCTGTATTGCTAGAAGACAGTACAAGGAAACTCCATGAAGATCTCTGTCATGTTGGATGATGAGCAGCCAGGGACTGTCTGTCACTTGGATTAAAACAGTTACTAATTTGGCTTTGTGTGTGTATGTACACGTGCTTACATGTGCTTGACTTACAAG